GTTTTACAATTTAAATACATTTATCTAGATTTAAGTAGATGTTTTATTTTGTTGGTTTTCTTGTTCTTGGTTTTCCTCAACTTGGATTTTTTAAAAATTAAACAAAAAATAAAAAGAAATCAGGATAATTGTAGAAGCTTGTGACCGCCTTAAATGTTTTAATTTTTATAACTAATTTTTAATTTCTCATTATCATCGTATTTTAAGGAGATTTAATTTGAGTTTTTCTGCAGCGTCACTTGTTTCGAGTGTTTTCTTCCGCATTCAACAGTCGGCCATTTTGTTCTTTTAGACAGAGCAGATTCCCCTCGTGATGCTCCGCCCTCGCTGCCCCTCCCCCCACCCTTCACACCATGGCCCTTATTTGGGAAATGCCTTAATTGGATTAAACTCTATGCATCAGAAACACTTTGTCAGCATGTCAGCGTACTGTCGGGGTGCCGCGGCGCTCCGAGCCTCATGTGTGGAACTGAATAATGAGCTGTCGCTTCACAGTGTGCTGGTTGTTGTTTTTATTTTTATTTTTTGTTCTTAAATGATAGAGAAGTGTTGCCTGTTCACATGTGGGTGTCGAAAACAGAAATAAAATGAAAACTAGTTTTTACTGTTTGCGTTTTGCAAGATCTGGTTAAAAGGTTAACTATTTAAATTAAGGGATTTGTGCGTCGATCCTTTCTAAGTTTTATGGTTTTATTGTATTTATTTGTTTTTTATAATAAGGCATCATTTCTTTTTGTAACGTAACTTTGGAGCATCCTGATTGTTGTGAAGTGAACACATCAAAGTTTTCTGAATGAGAGTAAAACTCTGCCTCGTGTTGCTTCTCCTCTCTGTCACTCAGGTGGGGGCTCTGCCGGGCTCCGTCTTCAACCTGGCCCCCCCTCACATGTTCGGCAACAGGCTGAACCCCAACTCCACCATGGCGGCGCTCATCGCTCAGTCCGAGGCCTCACCAGCAGGTACCAGAAACTCTGTGTGTGTGTTCGTGTGTTTTAGGGAAGATAATGGATGGGTCACGCCCCCTCGATCCCTCCAGCGAGGTCAAGGGTCAGAGATAGGCCTAAGCCCCTCCCATTCTGTTCTGGAGCTAAGTGGGAGGGACTTACACCTCTTTTTCTGAGCCATGTGTGTGAGGGACGAAGAGCAGGATCTCTGTGACGTAACGATGCAACAGAGGAGAAGATGACGGGTCTTCGGGGGCTCCTGGTATCTTGTTGTGTCGCTGTCGGTGCAGAAGATCAGACGAGCGAGTCGAAAAGTGGTTTTAGCAATCAAGAGTAGCTACTTCCTGATGCAAGACATGTGGTGAATAAAGAGTGGAGAGGAGGAGGAAGTGGGTCCTGCTGCCAGTCATCAGAGTCAGATCCACTGTGACCTGCAGGTCAGCCCAGTAATCAGGCTGAATGTGAGGGGGGGCTGTTTACGGTTACATGTTGTGTAGACACACAAAATATTCTGTAGATTTCTGCAATCTGTCTYGATAAACTCATTTTGTTTTTACAATCAGCTCATTTTTAATCTGTTTCTTTTACTTTGTAAAGTTTTCAGTACGAATAAAACAGAATTATTTAAATTTCAAAAGATAATTATTCGTTCTTTATATTTATTTTTTGTTACAGAACAATTTTTTAAAATCATAAATGATGTTTCTGTAAGG